TATTCTCTGTCACCAGTCAAAACATGCATGCTTACCCATGGCTTCATGCAGAAAGCTGAATTTTGACTAAGATTGCATAAAGCTAAGACAAAATACCTACAGAGACACTACAGTGATGCTTCTCTGAAAAGATTAAAGTGTTCTTTCTGCACTGTCAAAGCCCTCTAGATGGCAATCTTTAGCAAACTTTGGTGATTGGAAACATTTCGGCCTCAGTGCAGTTTACAGTGTTTTCACTAATGTTTTTAAATTAATCTGCTGTAATGACTGTCAGTTTAATGAGTTATTAAAAGATATTCATGCTTTTGTAGTGCAAAGTGTAACAAAAATAGAATAAATAACATTTCGTTTATTGCAAAAGTTCCTAGAGTAAAATATATTTCTCTGTCTGAAGTGCATTGCAGGCTTTAAAGAAAAGCAACAGTATTTGCAAGCAATTAAATATTTTCTGGAAGAGGACACATGCCTGCAAAGATTATAGTAACCCATCTTCCTCCTGAAGTAAGGTCTTTATAAATGAGAACTTCACTGAGTTTGAATAAGTTTCTCTGGTAGGGATTCTCGGAATGGTTTTACAAGCAGAACAACTTGTAAACAAAAGGAAAACCTGCTGCTAGGACCCCTGCTTAGCCTTACATCAGAATGCTGCATTAATTTGTAGTAGGCCCACAAATGTCAGTCTCATTAGATGAGCAAACACAAATTCCTGTATAACTCAGGCTCTCTGTTACAGCTCCATGGAGCCCCATAACTTTGCAGAAGTAGATCCCAGCAGTGAGGCAACATGTCTGGGAAAAGGCAAATCAGAGAGATTCTGACTGTCACTGCCATCAAATAAGGTGGCAATCTCCAACATCAATCCACACACAACACATAAACACACATGGACTGGGATTCTTCTGTGCCAATTCAGTACATGACCACTGGACCCAAACAAAGGGATTTCTGAATTCCTGACCCACACAGAGATTCCTGATAATAATCTGGAGCATGTCTCCAACCCTACATGCTTTCCTAAAGAATGTAGATGTTTGAAGCAGACTTGAAAACCTAACCCCCACACCTGAATCATTAGTTAGTTAGTTTGATTCAGTAAGTACATAGGTGTTTCATTTAGTTTTTAAACCCCCAAATTAAGCCATGTATTCCCCCTTGTCTGTATTCTACCAGATGGATGCTACCTCATGCCTTATGCAGAATACCACAGGAAAAAAGAAATTAACAAATGCTATATAAAAGAGGAACAAGCCAAAAATACCCTGGGGTTATTTCAAACTCCAGCAGTTTTTTGCAGGTGTTCTGGGCTTCAACAGCACAGTGAGACTTTTTCATTCATGTTCTGCCTGCTTCCTGGAAAACAACACTGATGTGAATATCCCAGCTAAAGAAAACAAACCCCAATGTATATTTCAAAGGGAGAACTGGCTTTATATCCTATGGATTATTATATAGCTGTGCTCACAAACTGTGCCTAGGCATCTGAGGCATGTTGAACTCTTCAAGCATAAACAGAGCCAAGAATATTTATAGTTCTATTCTGTCATAGTGGATGTTACAATTGGACAAATAATAGGGCCCAAGGTGACATACTATAATATTAATAGAAGGGCAGAGTGAGAAATTACCAAACTAAAGTGCTTAGAAATCTACAACCTACAGCAAGAACACCCAATGTCATAAGAAAGTCATTCCAGACTAAGAACACATGGATTCAGGTTCCTTTTAATCATTTTGTCTATTGTGTACTCTGTTTTATGATGGTTTAATTGTAGCTGTACTTCAAATGTGGTGCACTGATGGGGGACAGCAGGGGAGCATTAGGCGTAAAATTTAACTGCAAAGCTCAATGCAATCCTAATTATGGTGCTGCTATGACACCTCCATAATTACTCATTCTTATCCACTGGCTCTACTAAAATAATTCACAAGACAGAAAAGCAAGCTGAGAATGCCAGCATTGTCACTGCAGTCCAACACTACACAGGACTAAAACATGGTGATGCTTGGCTTTTTGACACCCACATTCCTCCACAAAATTTACAGGAGCCTTATTTTAAGCTCTGAGTTCCTATACAATTCAAAGATCTTCTAAACTAGCTAGAAGGAAATGTGGAAGAGAGAAGTGCTTAAAATTTCGTCTTTCTCAGACATCTCTGTGTGATCTGTGTTAGCTGTTTTTATTCAGTCAGGATCCACAGCCCTGCAGGACTTGGGAACCTTTTTAACACAGGCAGTCAACTTAAACTTTCCTTTCAAAAACCCACTAGAAATAGAAGTGGAAGTCGTGCTGCTCTTTTTTTTTTTTTTTTTTTTTCTTTTCATAACAACCAAGGAGCAGAGCATTTCATTCATGGACAAAATAAATAAGCACCACCATGCCTTTGTCCCTCTCTAGACCAGGCACGCAGTGACAGGGCTGGCATTCTCAGCTTGCTTCCTGTCTTGTGAAACACTCAGCAGAGATGGTGGATAGGGAAGAGTGATGATAAATGTGTCATAGCAGTGCAGTAATTAGGATTGCACTGGGTTTTGCACTTGATGGGAAGCATGGATCAATCTTGAGTCCTCTCTTTGCCTGGGGAGTGCCCTTATCACAGGGCTGGAGAGACAGTCCTTCACTTTTTTTCAAAGGCTGGCCAATCTAGCCTCCAGCTTCACAGTTAGGAGACTTTCATGGGAAAGGACAAGCAAGGGTCTGCCTTCCTCAGGTAGAGAATCACTTAAGACTTTGTCCTCCACATCATAATACAGAGATATGTATCAGGTCTGGGGAACCTTCTCAGTGCTTACTCTTCCTCCAGATACCTTTATCACAAGATGGAAGCTAAATCAAGCCTGGAGAAATAAATGCTTGTTCATGAAGATAGAAATCTTTGCTACACAACTAAAAAAAAAAAAAAAAAAAGAGTTCTAGCCACCTTGAGTACTCCACTGAAATAATACAGGTATGTATTCACAGCCCTTCCTGCATCACGTCTATTCTGTCTATTTATTGTTTTACAGTATGTGTCTCAAAAGATCATCAGAGTTGGAGGAGCTACAAAACTCCTGATAACCTCTAACACACACTCTGGGGTATGAAAAAAGGCAGCAGCCTCTTCTATCACAGAAAGGTTAAAGAGCACTTGTTTTGGCTGTGCAGAAAAGGTCAAGGACAATTACCAAAACTCTCATTGCTGATATTTCAGTCTTTCTGCCCTCCAATTTTAGAGCAGCTTAGGCAGTGTACAAAATCATTTATTGGATCATGACGCAAGAGATCTTTAAATTTTAACAACAGAGATACAGATTTCCTTTAGTACTGGCAACTCCAAGTCATACAAAAAGTTCAAACACTTGGTTTGAAATAAAAAGCTTTAAGAACTTTTGAAACAGTGAAAGAAACTACACAAAATTTTGAGGTTTTTTTTTTCCTTTTTAAAAGGAAAGACTGTAGAATAAAAAAAAAAAAAAATTAAAAAAAAAACCACCCACCAAAAAACACCCCTCCAAAACATACCTGAAACCAGACAACAACAACCAACAACAACAACAACATACAACTGTGAATCTGAAATGAGACACCACTTACTGCAAGAACATCAAATAAATACTAAGTTTGCAACCCTGTCCCTGCTCAGCTCATTCATTTACTGAGCGCAAGGTTGGTTGATAGGTACTGACAGCAAAGGTTAGATCAACTTCCCAATCTGCTGGAGGGTGCTTAAAGGATTAGTACCAAGGGACTTAATAATATTGAAAATACTGGATTCTCTCTGCTATTCTAGGTTTTTACAGGGAGCTTCTTTCCTCTGCCTACACAATATTAAAATAACTAATCAAAGGTAAAATTAGGTACACTTTTCATTTCCTGATTATTTCCTGGCTGATTTCTGAAAATTGAGACCCTTTTCACATAATCAAACTTTTAAACCAATCAGGACTCAGAAGGCACAACCACAAATCCATATATATTCAACAAAACCAGAATATGCATGTTGACGCTAAAGATGAACTGGTTTTTTTTTCCACAGTAATCATATTTAAAGTAACCAAAAAATTTTCTTCCTAACCCAAAATTTTTGCTTAAAAAAAATCTACATCCACATTCTGTTGTATATGTATTTATATATATATAAACACATATATATGTGTGTGTATATGCATATATATATATATTTATACACATATACATGTGCCATTTGTGTTCCCCAAGGAGTTTTCTAAACATGATTTAAAATTCAAAGTTTTCTCTTCATGACCACTGACAGAGCAAGGCAAAGGAAGTTTCAGTGCTTCACTTCCCTGAAGTTAGTTCAGGATTCACCTGCCTGCCTACCAAACATACATCTATAATGTACAGGGTATGTGACAGCTGGTCAAATAGACTTTTATAGCAGCACAGAAGTGGAGGTTTATTCAGAGTGTGCCCTATCTCAGCTAAATTTAGAGGTCTAAGATAGACTAGAGGTCTTAAAATCCAGTGAAATACTTCTGCAGCCCATTTGCTGATCCTTCCCGCAATATGAAAAATGACATCAGATTTCCATTAATTACAGAGAACAAATAAAAATCAAATGTCTTCAGAATGCAAACCTACAAAATATTCTGGGTTCAAATCTGCCTTGCTTTTTCTAAAGATCTAAAATCCAATTATTGCATCATCCATTAAATTGCATATTTACAGCTCTCCTGATTCAAAATGCATGGAGAAATCCAAAGCTAACTAAATTTTCTTTACTCTCCAAAACACAATTTCTGATCTGAAGCCAAACATGGAACACAGCAAACCAAGAAGGGATCTGGCTGAAGGAGCTGTGGAAAATTGACGTGAGAAAGGCTAATGGAACACAGGCCTAAACAGAGTCATTCTGCATCAGTGCAATATGAATATTTCAAAAGCAAAGACATCGCTAAGAAAGATTTTATAAATATGTACCTAAAATGGAAAAATCCTTGAAAATGCATATTATTAATCAATTAGTTTTCCCCTGTAACAGTCTGGGGAGTATCAGACTAACCTAGTGCTTGTTACCTCTTATCCAGTCCTTCCTGAGAGGCTTACAAGTGACCACACCTGTAGCAAAGAGAATTGCAAGGGAGAGGTTAGAGATTCATACAAACATCTTCAGGTAAACACAGCACAAAGAGAAGAGGGATTTAAATGATGGGAAAGGCTTTCTATCTACAAAATGAACAACATCCACATTTCATGTAAAGTTTTCTATTTCGTTATTAGTGCTTCAGAGATAAAAGGTAAAATCACATAAGAAAACTCGTAAATCTGAGTTGTTTTGCCAGTACAAAAGAGAAGCATGTCTAAATATTCCTTAAGTGGGGAAAGAGCTTCCTTCCTACTGTCAAGATGTTCATCTGTATCGGAAAATGGATAATCATAATTGTGTCCTCTGCTATTTATTCAAGAAAGAAAATTAGGTGCACCATATGTAGGTAATTTTTGTGTCTTTTGTAGGAACAAACCATTCTTCTCACCCTTTAACAATCCATCACAACTTTTTTTGCCATCAGCCCAAACCACCAGCTGAGGGGATTTTGCTAATTAACTACAAGTTGCAAGGTGAAAAATTCAGCCATCAGGTTGTTCCTTCTTCTCCTAAGTAATAATATAATCAGAACATGAAAATGCTCCTGTTGGCTTTATCTTATATTCTTATGCAAAACAGTTATTTAAGAACCAGAGTAAATATTGAGAGTATTAACTAGTAAAGCTAATGGATGATAGAGGCCCCATGAAGCTAAAAGTAATGCCAAAATGCTCCGGCAAACGAGGCCATTAGATTTTCCACCCACTACGCTGCCAATAAGGCAAATACAATGATTTCATTTATCTAAATAACTGCTGCTAGTCACAGATAATGGCAGCTTAAGCTACTCAGTGTGCAGTAGGCCACTTGGAGAAACAAAACAAAAACAAAGCACACTGCAGAAGAATAAAACAATTGTGCAGTTGCGTGTCTGGGCTCTGACAGAGAGTGCCCATTATTCCTGGCTACCAGAAGGAGCATGCAGGTGAACAGATAACTGCCTGGATAAACAAATGTTCATAACACAGCTCACACGTTGAAAAACTGGCCCACAGACCAAACCTGCACAACCTTGAGCATAAGTAGGCTCTTTCTTTTTCTTTTTTTTTTTTTTTATCCTTTTTCATGCCTGCATGTACCAGATAAAGTCACAGGACTCCCAGCCAGCGACTAGAACAAATGAGCTGGTTCAAAGGGCTGTTGTGAGGCTCTCTCTCACTGTACACAAAGTGCCATTTTTCCTTTGCGTGCTCAGTGCCATCTCTAATCCAAAGCAATTGCCCTAAGGTGCCAGACACATACAGAACGAGACATCCAGCAACAGCAAGAAGCATCAATCTGCCTCCTCCAGATACTAAATGTTGCTGGACTGAAAACTCGTGCTTTATTCTGCCTGTGTCCCACCAATTCCAGAAGAACTCATAATAATCTCAGCTGTTGCTCCTCAAATCACCACAGTAATTCTGTAATGAATGTGTCACTAAGGAGGGAAAAGTCATCTAGATTTACTCAGCAAAGAATATAAAAAGGGGGCTTTAATTACAAACAAGATGCTTTATTTTCAGGCAGTTCACAGTTAATTTTTTCACACTGCCACCTCAGGGAAGATGTTTCAGCTGATCAGCAAGCAGACCTTGAGCCACATGGTTTACAGTGCAGAACTTCAGTGTAAATGGAAGTGGTGGCTGATTTACACTCTGCAGCTGAGGGCAGTAACTTTCTCAGCCAAACTACACGAGCTATCCATGCTCATGTAGAAACCCAGGGGATGGAGGGAAAAGAAGTGTGGAGAGGAATTATCAATAAATGTTTCCAGCACTGTTTTCCAGAAGATGGTGGACTCCGTGTCATGCTCTGAAGTGAGCAAAATAATGGAAAAAACAGCAAATGGACTGGGTGTTGGTTTCTCAGGCTGCTTGTCAAAGGGCTCTGAAACCTCACTGATGCAGCCCTGAGGCTAGAGAAATTAAATGAAATATTGAAAAACATTCAAACATGTTACAGCAAAACAATATTGTGGGCAACAAAATGGCTCAGCTGGTATCTCATCTTTGATGAGCAGGTAGTCTGGCATCCAGAAGGGCAGCATAAGGTGAACCCTGAAAACTCCATCAAAGAGCTTTGGGTTGACTCTTTTCTTGTCTCTGCCTCAGGGACTAACAGATTCAGTGGTACAGAAAATAAATTAACATTAAGAAGCTTGTGAAGAAAGATTAGAATCTAGAATATCATTACTCACATAAGATAAGGCTTAGAAGGACAAAGGTAAAACAAAATTATCAAACAACTGTTCTGTATGACTGAGGAAATACCATCTCACCAGAAGAAGCTGCTGCATGGGAACAGCAAAACATTTTCCACCCTCTGAAACAATCTGGTTTTCTCCCAACAGTAACAGCATAAAGATAATTTAGATTAAAATAACTGGAGAGCATTTTTAATACAAAAACAATAAAGGAAGGACTGTCCATCTGCAGGCTGAGGTGGAGCTGAACCAGGAGCACCCAGGCATGGAAGAAGGCCACCAGCAGAACCCACAGCCTGGGCTTCTGCCTCAGAGCAGGAAAAATATCTTCCACTCAATGCTCAGCTCCAGGGCCCAAGGAACAGCTGGTGGAAAAAGACATGGTGCAGCTAAACTGTTCTGAAGTTATCTCAGAAAAGGTGCTCTTCTCAAATATTTACCATCTGAACTAGCAGAGGCTGTGACCAGACGTAAAGTTTTGAGAAGCAGCTGGGCTCACACGTGCTTTACAAGGGAAGGACCAGAAGTCAGCATCAGTGCAGGAGAGAGAGCAAAACACAACTTTCTTTTGTTCAAAGTACCTGATTTCAGTCATGCATTTGCAGCACTACCACCAGACCTGACCTTGAAAACATCACTTTCTTGCTCTGCTCCTTTGCATTTCCACCTGTGCAGCACCTGGAAACCATTCTTTTAACCTGCAACCTGTCATAACTGAACTTGATACATTCAATTTTGATTTTAAAATCCATATTTTGTGTCTCTCACATATACAGTAGAAGCACTGGTCTTATTTTTTAAAGGAACACTTGACTCCTTTGTTGTTAATTGTACAAGATGTACTTTTCCCCTATTAATATCTCTATAATGTAGAATTTAATTTACTTTCCACCATTTTACTTTTAATTATTACCAGACTCCTAAGCAATAAACAGAAGAACCATATTGATGGGACAAGCCTTTTAAATGATGGGACATAACAATTATTAATTACAACTTAAAAGTCCCTAGCAGCACCTTTTTGCTATAAATGCTGGCTGACTTCAAAAACTTCAAAAGGAAAAGACTAGTATTGTACAACAGTCAATTAATTAGATATACTGCAGATACCTTTCTAAATTAATTTGATTATTAATAGCAGAACTCTCAGATTTAAATTCTGACTCAAGTGTTAGCATCCATATATTTTTTTTCAAGGATGAATATATCAGATTGCATGGGCCACTTAATTTAATTGCAAATTATTTTCTCTGCTATCATGTGGTCTATTGTATGTTGAGTTCACCTTAGTGCACTTATTCAGACAGCTGTGCTAGGTGGCAATACTTTAAATCATCCATAAAAACAAACAATATTTTGCATTTCTTCTCTCTGTTCTCTGTTATTTTCTGTGGAACATGTCAGAATTTTATTCTTAGTTTAAATAAAAGGATTGTAAAATAGCACGCCTGTCACAAGTAAATCAAGAGTGTCCTTTTTAAAGACATGAAAATGCTTAGCATCTTTCTGTTGTAATCCCAAGCATGTTTGGGAACTGGTAATTTGTTTTCAGAAGGAATGTCTCCACAGGTAGGGAAGTTGTTTTGTCAGTTCTGTGAAAGAGCTTTTAATTACCTGCATTTAATTGAGTCTTGCACATAAACATTGGGAAACAATTTGTGAGGTTTTCTGAGTCAACAACATGGTTCACACAATAAATCATTCTTTCTCTCTGTACTTAACTCACGTGCTGTCTTTGAGCCAGGCTTTGTTGGTATTCCAGGACTTTTTTCTTTTCAGGGAATAGGAAAAGCACAGAGAAACAATCTTCTGGTCCCAGCTGTGTGGCATGGAGCAGGTTTGGGGTCAGAACAGGACAGCTCCATTTTCTTCTCAGCTGCACCAGTTAAACATTAGGAGACTGGACAAGCCTTGTCACCCTCAGTTTGGCATTTGCATTGAAGTGGAGACAAGTATTTCCCATTCCTGTTGCAGTTTTCTGAGAACTGAAGACACAAAACCCGCACATGGGAACACAAGACCTCGTGACTGCTTTGCAGAAGTTCAAACACCAATTTGGGCAAAGATGAAATAAGGCCTGCATTTTCCAGTTTGCTTCTGTTTGCAAATTGGATTCATCTCAGCAAAACCCACTGATTTCCTACTGTGGTCACGACTTCCTGCAAAGATAAAGGGAAGGGAAGACATGACTAAATGCTTGAGAAAAAAATCCAAATATTTGGATTGCAGCAGAACCCAGAGGTCCCAGATAAAACCAGCAGAAAACTGCCTCTGTTCTGATGTGTTCCTCTCAGGGATAGGATGTGGGAAAAAGAGTATTTGTAGTACTATTTAGCTAATTAGTGTCTTAGTTTGCTTTGTTTTACACAAGACGTGAAAGGTTTTCTATGGACAATTCAGAGCACAGAGTACACCAAGGAGAAAATGCTAAACATTTTAAAGACCTGACTGCACTGGCTGATACTCTGGGCTCCAATGTCTTCATAAATTGATAAGAGTGATCCTGCAGCGAGGAAGACTTTTACTGAGTTGTCACTCAGTGTTTTCCAAGATAAATAAAATCCAGAAATATACTGCAGAATGAAGTGGTGGTGTGAGTTTCTGCAAGCAAAGTCATGGAAATCACTGACCACTCACCCTTGACAGATCCTTCCTCCTGATCCTTGGCTTTTGTCCTTGGGAAATTCTGCTACAAAGGAAGGTTAAAACAAACATATATCACTAATGACAGAAAAGATACTCACAAAGCTGACACAAGAGAGTGGTACTGATGTACAGGTAATTCTGGTCTGAAAAATTGACTAAATTCCTTATGGAAATTTTAAGGCATACTCCTTGGGAAAAAAAATAAATCCTATTGAGACAGACAGAGAGAATACTAATCACATTTCTTCTCAATTCTTCTCCCTAGCCATAATTAGTAGGGAATATTTGCCTTGAAACAATCTCTTTTTCTCCTTCATTCATTTGATCAACTGCTTATCCCTCACCTGGAGCCATAATCTCTTGTCTGAAGCTTCATAATCTTCTGCACTGCTAAAAGGATTAGGTATCCAGGTGAAGCCTAAACAGCAGGAACAGATGATCACACAGGAAACAAACACTGTTCTGATTTTTCAGATGGCACTTTTCCCCACAATAATTAGGTAAAAAGAAACTCTAACCACCACTGCCTCTTAGAAAGAAAAGAAGGAACCCTGTAAACATATAGAAGAAAAAAAAACCAAAAAACCCAACACAAACCTTAAGACATAGCTTTTTAAATAATTCTCCCCCAAAGTAAAACTGCATAAAACTACGAAATGAGTAATATTAAAAGAGAATAAGAAGATTAAGGGGAAAAAAAAAAGAGACAGAGATTATTCTAATGCTTTAACAATTTGCTGCAATCTTTACAATGCAAATATTTTATATTCTGAAAACAGATGTCACTTTATCTGATCTTCTAAAAAAACTGGTGAAGCTGAACTGGGGGTGGGAAGGTTACATTTTCTGTCTGTAGTTTTCACTGGGCAAGACTGACTCTGCCAGTGTACAGCCCACAAACACATGCTCATTTCTTTTATAAATTTATAGGGCATTTCTTGCCTGTGACTTGTTTTAAAGCCAGGACATCCATTAAAGTTAAGCACTCTGACTGCATGTGATCATTAAAAATGCATGAGGCAAAGTTTTGTAAAATTCAATATGTACTTAATTCAAAATTCAACATTTGTAAAATTCAACATTTCAAAACTCAAAACTGTAGGATCTAAATCCAGCCAGTTCATACCCCTTTGACACACCTGATATTGGAGACTTTTGTTGCTTGCCATTTCACTCTTTTCCAACTAGACTTCTGACGTTAGGGTCAAATACAGCTGTCACTAACCGGAAAATTTTCAGTAATTGCTTTGGTTGTCTAAATATGTGAGAAAACAAAACAAAACAAAAAAAAAATTGAAATGCATTCTGCTCTTTCATTATATCTAGGTATACAATAAGTTTTACAAAAAGCAAACAATGGCAGATGAATATGACTTTTTTGGTTATTCAGTAGTGCTTATATGTGGGAATTGGATGAAGTGCCAGCATCACCTGGAAAATGAAGCCACTAGAGAAGCAGAAAACAAAGTCAATCTATTCAAAACCAGGTAATTCTTCATGCCTCCCCTCTTTGGTTCAAGTAGGTGCTCCTACTTACCAATCTACCAATATTGTCTGTGCCTAATAGTGTGTTAATTCCTTCCCTGGCAGTTTAAGGAGCAATGGATCTGCTTGTCTCCATCAGGAGCCTATGGAGATTTACAGGAAGTCAAGCAAGCCATCCAAAACCTGTTCCCAAGAAGTGCAGTGTCCCTTTCATCATTTAGGATAGATTTCAGTGAGTGAGTGGACATAACAGACTGCACAAGGTTGGAAAGGTTGTTAAAAATCTGCAAAAACTCCAGTCCAGTGTAGATTGGGTTAACAGATTTTTACTGGTGGAACCAGGCCCTTCTGTGCTCCTGCCAGCAACACAGGGGCAGCTTCTAGAGAGCTGTCAAAAGATTCTGTCCAAGCAGACAAAACTCAGCACCCGAGCCAGGGGAGATGATATTTGCCTACACCTACAATTATTATGAATAGTTATTTAAAGTCTGACCATTTGGCAAAACTCACTGAAAAATAACAGCCACACAGAGTCAAACTTCGCCTGGCAGTCCTGTCTATTACACTGTTACAGACAACTACAAACCCTTGTTTTGGGCAGAGATATCCATGGAAGTGGGAGCAAAAATCTAGCAGGGTTTGGGCCAGACAGAACACGTGTGCTGATTCTGTGGCAAGGATTGCCTCTGGTAGTGTTACACACTTAATGTTAAGCTGAATTTGAAAAATGCAACTCATTAACTTGAATTATGAAAATAATGCAAAAGGGCACATACTAGAGGATTTTTTTTTTCCCTTCCCCCCCTCCCTTTTTCTCCCCCCATTTTGCTTTTCTGTGAAACCATCTCTTCCAGGAGATGTATACACTGGCTGGAGGTTTCCAGGGCAAGTTACCCTACCTAACACATTTGTTGTGATCTGAAAACCCCTCTCAACTCCAGCTGTGGCCAGAGGCAGAGGAACAGCAGTGAGCAGGGTTTGCCACGCAGGCAGGCACAGGGCTGGGCTCATTCCTCAGAGCAGCCTCGGGCCACTGACCTTCCAGAGTGAGCTGCAAAGCTCATCTCTTTCCTTCATGGAATGGAAAAATGACTTAAAAAGCAAAAACCAAGACTAAAAAAGCTATGATATGGAACAGCCTGCTTTTTTTTTCCCTCCTTCACATTTGTATTCATTATTCTAACCACAGCATGTACTAGAAGAGCCTAGAATCTAGGGCAGGTGCTTTAAATGTCATACATAACTCCAATCCACTAAATATCTCAGAAAATTGGAACATCATCAGTGATTGCTCAGTCACTAATTAACAATGAAGGACAAAAAATCACTGCAAATGTGCTATTTGGCCAAGAATTGACTAAGAGGAAAAGTGTGGAAAAGAAAGCATGTGTGTGTTAATGGAATATGCAACATTTGAGAGCTGTAAGCACCTGGGGAGGGCAAAAAGTTATGCTTTCTTAGACAACCTTAAATAAGAATGAAAGTCACAGAAATTAGGGATAATTAATAATTGGCAACAAAAATAGTTCTTTTTGAGTAACAAAGGTTTAAAAAAATATTTGTGTGTAAACACCACAGAGTTAAGGTATCAGTTTCTTCAAAAGAACTTAAATTTAGGTTGGGCTTTATGTTAAATATTAGCCATTCTGACCAAATTAATCATCTATGGTACTCAAAGAAGAAAGTGTTAAAGATGGATATGCCATAGATATGAGCTGTTGACCAAGAACTTGTAAGTTGATGAAAATAAGGATCTTTTAAATATTACAGCTTGAACACATTTTTATACACAGTTTGATAACTTATTGGTTAAAAGATAACAAGTGAGAAAGAAGTAGAGTACGCTAAAAAATAAAATTATAGTAGGACAATGTGACTTTTATATTCAATGCTTGCACAAGATAAATTTACTAAAAACGATCAGATTTATGTTTCTAGAGAGGGGATATTCAGTACTGTTGTACATCAAGTAATATTTCTTAGTAAAGAAGAAAGAACCAGTGTTCCTATTGAATCTCAATTGATTTGTGCTGTGTTGCTGCCAACACAGACAAACACAGGAGATTAGTAAAGGGGGAAAATGCTTATTTTATATATAACTGGATCAAATGTGATCCATCATCCATGAAGGCACAGACTGTGCATCTCAGCTGAAACTGCTCCTTGCGGCCATCTGGTCTAGACCATCACCTGGCCAGTCTGGGCAGTTTGTGCCTGCCAGGTGCTCTGATGCCTCTCAGGTGCTGTTTGGGAATCACCTCGTGCTGTTTTGGGGCACAGTCAGGGAATAAGGTGGATGAAAACAACAGAAGGAAGAACAAAACAGGCACTGGGGCAAAGTAGCAAGAAGCTCTCCAGGGTACAGAGCTATGATTTTCTCTCTTTCAATAACTCCAGCTGATCTGCCAAAGTCAGTTTAACTCTCCTCCCTGTCTTCAGGTGCTTTGGTTTTGGATTTGGTGTTTTGGTTCTGTTTTGTTTTTTTGGTTTTTTTTTCTTATTTTATTTTTTTTTAGGTTTTTTTTTTTTTTGTTGTTGTTGTTGTTTGGTTTTTTGTTTTTTTTTAATTTTTTTCTCTTTTTTTGGTTGATTTTCAGGTCGGGGGAGATAGGGGTGTTTTTCTGTTTGTTCGTTTTTTGGTGGCTTTTATGTGTTTTGTGGGGGTGGGTATCTTTTTGGGGTTTTTTTTTTTTTTTTTTTTTTTTGGTTGTTTTTAAAATTTTGATAAAAGATATGATAGAAGATTTTTACCATTTGATTCAGGTAGGTTCAATTAATGACCTGGCACCTTCAGTCAACCAATTCAGAACGTGTCCTCCTTTTCTTCTTCTGACTCACCCACAGTCCTAAGTACAGTTCATAATTTCATCAAAACTCTTGTTGTCCTGGTTAACTTCAATGTTTCCAATCACTTTTTTCTCATTTCATTTGCCTCTTTGTTTTTCCTTTCACTCTATTCTCTCTGTATTTGCTGTAAGTAGTAGCTTAGGTCCTTAAAATCATTGCAGTAGTGAAAGTGATACCTGGAATCTCTATTAAATAACATAGCTGCCCTGCAAGGACTGCTGAGTTCTGACCAACTCTGACTAAATTCAGCCTAGTTCATTCTGAGAGCACATCTGCAAATGAGATAAAAACACGTGTGCTGAGGATGTTGAGATGTAATAACACTGATAATGTTACACAGGCTAACATCTTAACAAGGATTCAGGGAGATGTACAGGGAACATTTGAGGAAAAGGACACAGCTGAGGGAAAACAAGGAAGAGGCCAAGCAGCTTTAGTTCATGTCTACTCTAGATGGAGTAGGAGAACTAAATAATCAAATTCCAGCATCTTAAATCAAGGCACTGGAAAGCTGAATTTCTAGTTTATTACATTAACGTTATATTGCTTGTTAGCTCAAGTGTTTAAGCCCTTTTCTTTTTTAGTTCAAAAATGTTAAATTTTGTAGTCCATCAATCCAACCATCTCAGAGCTGTTACTGGAGCTAAAAAACCTCATAAGGGAAAAAAATTAAAAACAAATTAATGTGAGAAGATGAGATAAATCAAGTAGTGAAGTCAAGAGTAAATTATCAAAAAGATCTTTTATCAAAAATGAATATTTTTTTTCTACTTCAAGAGTAACCCATTAATTTTATTCCCCCCACTCCATTCCTTAGCATGACTGTAGTTCAAGCAGCATAATATAAAAATAGGCTTATTAAGATATGAAATATGTTTAACTCTCATCATAAGCACCACATTCCTTTAAAATTTAATTTAAAAATATATGTAAGTCAGGAGAGCATAAAAGCATTTGCACTTTTCAATAATCAAGGGGATAAACGCATCTATAATTGGCAAATGGTAAGCAAAAGTGAGCCAGAAATAAATGTCCTGGGTTGGATTTGGCAACTCTGACAGTACTCTGACTGCTTTCATTGACCTTAAAAGAGCTTTTGCAGCATTTCCTACAGAGCAATTCCAGGGATGTTTTTCAAAAGACAGGATGTACGAAGTCCAGTGCGATTTGATATCAATCAGGCAGAGTGATTCCTTGCATATCTGTACATGTCACTTCTACATGATACTGAGCTCCCCAGTCCTGAAGGAAAAAGGGACACAAAATAAAAAGCATGATATATGTATTCCTCTTTAAGGCTTTTATCTCACTGGCATCCCTCAATGAAGCAAGCTCTTAAATCCCTGTCTGGAGTGGCCAAAGAGAAGAGGTGGGGCATGGCAGCCGCTCCCTGACACAGGTGTACCACTGAACCCTTTGGCAGTGGCTTATTCCATGTGCAGACTTGTTCATTTTGCTTGTTCACTTCTGCACAATCCCTATTCTCCCATGGGATAATCACCAGATGAGGAAGCACCAAAGGGTCCTCAGGCCAAGGCTTCATGGTGCTAAAGGAACATCCAAGGGCACTGCCAATCCCGAAAGGAAGAACCTGAGTGACAGATTCCGACCCTGGGGAGTCGGCAGCAGAGGTTATCAAACATTATGAGATCACTGGCACAACAATTTCAGGGATTCTGGGAACTCGATGAAAGAGCTTGCAATAAAAGAACAAGGTAAATCACAGCAGAGCAGATTGGGGATGCAGCAAAAGTACTGATGGGGAAGGCAAAGTAATAAAGATGAAAGAGTTTGCCAGTCATTATCAGCTCTTATTACATTATTATTTGTCTGAGATACCTATATCTATATCTCAGGAACTGTAGGAACCTAAATACCATTTCATAATTCATAGGCAGCCTGAGAGGTAGGCAGAATTTTCAGGCAAATTTACAATATTAAAACACTTCTTCAAAATCAGTATACTGAGCCTTGAATCCTGCTTTCCACTTCATGTAATTCTGATGCTAATTACATCTGGTAATTACATTTCTGTGTCACAAAGACAAAACCACAGCTTTAAGGAGGAAATATAATAGTTGTCACCAATCTAAAATTTGTGATCCCAGAACTTTCCCAACTGACCTCCTTTAGGGAACCCAGTTCAATGAAAGATTCAAGAGAATCTACAGAACAAACAAAAAGCACTGAAACCACTTTAGCAAGAGCATTCAGGATTACACAGACTCTATTGCTGCTTTAGCAAGTTGTCAGGGCA